GACTCCAACTAAAAAAAAAAAATAATAATAATAATAATAATAATAATTTGTAGTGTGTTTAGGGCTAAAATTATGAAGGAAAATAACTGGTGAGCGACATTATAACAATGGTTAAAGACACATTGGATTTCTTTTGCACGTTTTGTTTTGTTTTGTTTTATTTGAGTTGGAGTCTCACTCTGTCGCCCAGACTGGAGTGCAGTGGCCGCTCCCGGCCACCGCAGCCTCGACCTGCTGGGCTCCGGCGATCCTTCCACCTCAGCCTTCCGAGTGACTGGAACTACAGGCACGTGCTACCACGCCCGGCTGATTTTTTGATTTATTGTAGAAATGAGATCTCGCTGCCCAGGCGGGTCTCCCAAAGGCACGGGATTACAGGCTGAGCCACCGAGCCTGGCTTTTTTGCACGTTTTTTATAGCTAGGTAGAATATGGTGGTGTGTTTCTAACTCCCCAGAGTCCAGTGCAGAGCTGGCAAGAAGATAGTCTCTAGTACTGCATGTGCGTCCTGACATACTTTATCTTTGCACAAATGCATGTTTATTTTCCGAAACATCACTCTCAGGCTCAGAGGGACCCCATCTACATAGCACTGTTGGTGTTTACATAAAGCTTCACCCATTACGTGGTGGGCAGTTGGATAAGGTGGGCCAGTGTTCATCCTGGATTAGAATGTGTACAAGCACAGCTGCCAACACCGAGATCTGTGTCTCCATGCTCTGGCACAGTGAATTGCCAGATACTTCTGCTTAATCTTTGTTTAGTCCTCTTCTTTGATGTTGTGGCAGTGCAACTTTTATCCCTACTTTATTTGGAATGAATTATCTGTGAGATGAAAACACACACTGGACACAAGCCGAAACTGAACTCCTCAAGGGCATTCTACTGTTTTGTGAAGTCTTGGCATATGTCACTGGAGACAGTGAGCTAGTACAGGCTAATTATTTGCTTGTCAGCAAATCAATCTTCAGATGACCAGAGAGTGTGATCCAAAAACTCAGGGAGTTCCAAGAAAGGCTTGATGGTCTTTTCCCTTTGAAGTAAAAAAACAAAACAAAATAAAAAATAACAAAAAAAACCTGTAATGAATTCAGCAAAAATTTTAGTTCCCCTAAGCACAACATAAATAATAGTCTGTGTAGCTTTCCTGAAGAACTGGATTATTGCAATTTTTTTTTACAGATTTAAATGTGCTAGATTTAAAAATCCTTCTACTTGGGTGGCTCACGCTTATAATCCCAGCACTTTGGGAGGCCAAGGCGGGAGGATTCCTTGAGCCTGGGAGTTTGAGATCAACCTGGGCAATATTGTGAAACCCTGTCTCTATAAAAACGTTTAAAAAAAATCCTTCTGCCGGGCTCGGTCGCTCAGCCTGTAATCCCGCGCTTTGGAAGGCTGAGGTGAGTGGATTGCCTGAGCCTGCGGGTTCGAGACCCGCCTGGGCAACTTGGCGAGACCACATCTCTACAATAAATCAAAAATCAGCCGTGCATGGTAGCACGTGCCTGTAATTGCGGCTACTCGGAAGACTGAGGCGGAAGGATTGCCGGAGCCTAGCAGGTCGAGGCTGCAGTGGCCGGGAGCGACCACTGCACTCCAGTCTGGGCGACTGAGTGAGACTCCAACTCAAAAAAAAAAAAAAAAAAAAAAATCCTTCTACCTGGGCAAGTGTGCAAGACTTTTAAAGAAACATGATTTACTTGCAATGAACCAATTTATTTTGAGAGATTGCTATTGCTTCTTTTCCACCCTCTGGTTCAGTGATTTTTGGTATATTTACAGAATTGTGTAACTCTCAATTTTAGAATATTTACAGAATTGTGTAACTCTCAATTTTAGAATATTTGTAACACACTAACAAAAACCCTCGTACTCACCAGCAGTTACTTCCCATTTTTTCCCCAATTCACCTCCATCCCATTCCTAGGCAATCACTAATTTCTTGTCTCTGTGGATTTGCTTACACAGGACTCTTCATATAAATAGAATCATACAATATTTGATCCTTTGACTGACTTCTTTCTTTCACTTGGCGTGATTTTTTTTTTTTTTTTTTTTTTTGAGTTGGAGTCTCACTCTGTCGCCCAGACTGGAGTGCAGTGGCCGTTCCTGGCCACCGCAGCCTCGATCCACTGGGCTCCCGCGATCCTTCCGCCTCAGCCTTTCGAGTAGCCAGAATTACAGGCATGTGCTACCACGCCCGTCTGATTTTTGATTTATTGTAGAGATGAGGTCTCGCTGCCCAGGCGGGTCTCGAACCCGCGGGCTCAGGCAGTCCACTCACCTCAGCCTCCCAAAGGCGCGGGATTACAGGCTGAGCCACCGAGCCCGGCTGGCGTGATGTTTTCAAGGTTCATCCATGTTATGGCATGCAGCAGCATGTCAGTTCTTTTTCATGACTCTGTATGGAGACACCACATTTTGTTGATCCATCCATCAGTTGATGAATACTTGTGTTGTTTCTGCCTTTTAGCTACTATGAATAATGCTGCTATGAACTATCATACACAAGTTTTTGCGTAGACATATGTTTCCATTCTCTTGGGTATTCACCTAGGAGTCGAATTGTTAGCTCATATGGTAAATGTATGTTTAACCCTTTTAGGAACTGTCAGAAAGTTTTCCAAACCATTTTTATATTCCCATTAGCAGTCGCATGTAATTTTTTTTTTTTCTTTTTTTGAGTAAGAGTCTCACTCTGTCACCCAGACTGGAGTGCAATGGCCGCTCCTGGCCACCGCAGCCTCGACCTACTGGGCTCCGGCGATCCTTCTGCCTCAGCATTCCTAGTAGCCGGAACTACAGGCGCGCGCTACCACGCCCGGCTGATTTTTTCGTTTATCCAGCACTAATGAGAGTTCTGGTGAAGAAGAGGTGTTACAGCTCAATCCAATAAATCAGCTGCTATCCTTCAATTAAAATACGAGAGGCAGGCCGGGCTCGGTGGCTCAGCCTGTAATCCCAGCACTTTGGGAGGCCAAGGCAAGTGAATTGCCTAAGCCTGTGGGTTCGAGATCCAACCCGGCAACTTGGTGAGGCCTTGTCTCCACGATAAATCAAAAATTAGCCGGGGTCAGGCTCGGTGGCTCAGCCTGTAATCCCAGCACTTTGGGAGGCCGATGACCAGTCCAGGTGATTTGGTGAGACCTTGTTTCTACAATAAATCAAAATTTAGCCAGACGTGATAGCACACGCCTGCAGTACTGGCTACTCGGAACGTTGAAGTGGAAGGATTGCCTGAGCCCAGCAGGTTGATGCTGGGATGGCCATGAGCGAGCCACTGCACTCCAGCCTGGGCGATGGAGTGAGACTCCATCCCCAAAAGAAAAAATTCCAACCCTAACAAAAATGACTGTATTAAAACAATTAACCTCACCAGTTGATTCTTATAGCTGCCGTTTATGACAACCACTGTGCTAAGTTGATGGATAAGTGTACCCCTTGTCACGACCACTTCAAGACTACATACTAGGCCACTGTAATTCCTTCTCTGCCACCCTGAGTCCACCTTTGTGATCTTGATGTTTGTTCACGGTTTCAACATCTGAGTACTGATTCTGGCTAAGCACCTAAGATCCTTATGACTCCTCTCTTGCCTCATACATCTAAAAATATTCTAGACCTTAGCAATCTTCTCACCAAGTTATTAGACTCATTTTCCCTTTAATGCGTTTTTTCTGGATTATCATTGTTTAGAGCTCCCATGACCTCTAACCCCAAATTTTACCAGACCTTCCAGCTAGTACTATTCCTTCTATTCTTACCCTTTTTCTTTTTCTAGAATAATTTTCCTAAAGCACAGATCTGCGCTTAGCAGTCTTTAAATTAAAAAAAAAAAAATCTAGGCCAGGCACGGAGGCTCACGCCTATAACCCTAGCACTTTGGTAAACTGAGGTGAGAGGATTACCTGAGCCCATGGGTTCGAGACCAGCCTGGGCAACCTGGTGAGACCTCGTCCCTACAATAAATAAAAAATTAGCTGGGCGTGGTGATGCGGACCTGTAGTTCCGGCACTCCAGCATGGGCAACAGAGTGAGACTCCAACTAAAAAAAAAAAAAAATCTTTGATGATGATTCATTCTGTGACTGGTATGATCTACTTCATGAACCTGGGGTTTAGGAAGGTACAAATCTTATGTTTTCCAAAATAAACCACTTCAGGATCAAATATTGGGTTAGCAGAAGATCGATATTTTTCTCTTGAGGCCTCTCCTCTCTCACTGTGTGATCTTATAACCAGGAGAACTTAATCTGAAATGCTTCTTCCAAATGCTTTGTGATGATAAAAGTACACAATAATATAACCAGTCTTCCAACAGTCTCTGTTTCTCAGTCCTTGTCATTTCAGTCTATGCCATGGCATTGCTATTCCAAACGGGTCTTGCTATCATAAGGCACTGGTGATAAGACCCTCTGGAAAGGCTACAATGGTTTTAACACAAGGAAGAGTGAGCCTATGACCGCAGTAAGTCCGCCATGCTAGAAAGACAGAGTGAGCAGGGACTTTGGGATTTACCTACGAAGTATACCAGAGCTAGCTCTTTCTCCCATATCTGTTTACACTGGGTGTGAAGTCCAGGTCACCACTCAGGCCCGTTTTCTCTTATAGAAGTTCCCAGGAGGGGCTCCTTCTGCTGTAAGCCTTGCTTGAGGTCATCACAGTCTAGAAGAAAAGATCCATTAGGTGGATTTTAAAATTCCTTTTCCAGACCTGGCTTAGAATTTTTTGTTTTAATTGTAGTAGAGGTGTATATATGAAACAGAAGTGACATAGGAAGAAGTAATTTATTCTGGTTGGAAAAGTTAAGGAAGCCTCACCAAGGTCCAGTTTCTGGAACCTTCTGCTCAATGACAAACAGATCTGCAGGTAGACAAGGTTTGGTGTAGGACTGCAGAGGGGGTGGATATGGAACATTATGGATATAATATGAAAAAGTTTCAGGATACGACTTAGCATGGTATGTCATAGAATGCTGAAGAAGCCCTCTTTTTCATGGTACCTGGGAGACGATCAGCTGCTTCAAGATGAAACTGAGTATCTCCTTCCCTGTCACTGGTTGCCAGAAACTCATTGAAGTAGATAATGAACGCAAGCTTTGTACCTTCTGTGAGAAGCACATGGCCACAGAAGTTGCTGCTGACACTCTGGGTGAAGAATGGAAGGGTTACATGGTCCAAATCCGCGGCGGGAATGTTAAACAAGATTTCCCCCATGAAGCAGGGTATCATGTCCACCAGTTGCTGAGTAAGGGACATTCCTGTTACAGACCAAGAACTGAAAAAAGAAAGTGCAACCTGTTCAGGGTTGCATTGTGGATGCCAATCTGAGCATTCTTAACTTGATTATTGTAAAAAAAAGGAGAGAAGAATATTCCTGGGCAGACTGATACTATGGTGCCTCATCACCTGGGGCCCAAAAAGCCTAACAGAGCCGGCAAACTCTTCAGTTTCTCTAAAGAAAATGATGTCCACCAATACGGTGTAAGAAAGCTCTTAAGCAGCCGGGCTCGGTGGCTCAGCCTGTAATCTCAGCACTTTGGGAGGCTGAGGTGAGTGGATTGCCTGAGTCCGCGGGTTCAAGACAGTCTGGGCAACATGGTGAGACTTCGTCTCTACAATAAATAAAAAAATAAGCTAGGCGCGGTAGCATGCACCTGCAGTTTCAGCTACTTGGAAGGTTGAGGTGGAAGGATCGCCTGAGCCCGGCAGGTTGAGGCTGCAGTGGTCGTGAGCGTGCCACTACACTCCAGTCTGGGTGACAGAGTGAGACTCCAACTAAAAAAAAAAAAAAAGAAAGAAGCAAAGAAACGTAGGACCAAAGCACCCAAGATTCACCATCTCGTTCCCTCACCACTTGTCCTGCAACACAGACACCAGTGTATTGCTCCAAAGAAGCAGTGTACTAAGAAAAATAAGGAAAAGACGCAGAATATGCTAAACTTTTGACCAAGAGAATAAAAGAGACCAAAGAAAAACACCAGGAACAGATGGCCAAGAGATGCAGACTGTCCTCTCTGTGAGCTTCTACTTCCAAGTCTGAGTCTAGTAAAAAATATATATGTTTTTTTGAGTAACAAATAAGATCAGAACATCAAAAAAAAGAAGTTTTTCATGTGGATGAAACAGAAATGAGGGTGGGGAGTGGGGAAAAGGGAATGATGCAGATTAAATTGGAAAGCAAGCCAAGAAAGAGTAACCCAAGGTCTACAAGTTGGGATATTACAGCTTCAGGGAGACATGGAGATATTATGCAAGTCCATAGTATAAACGTGGTGTGTCTTGCTGAAACATCAATTTCCCTCTATGATTGGGAGAGACAGAAATTTATTGTAACTTTTTTTTGAGTTGGAGTCTCACTCTGTCTCCCAGGCTGGAGTGCAGTGACACGTTCACGGTCACTGCAGCCTTGACCAGCTGGGCTCAGGCGATCCTTCCACTTCAGTCTTCCAAGTATCTGGAACTACAAGAGTGCACCACCACACAAGGCTAATTTTTTGATTTATTTTAGAGATGAGGTCTCACCAAGTTGCCCAGGCTGGTCCTGAACCTCTGGACTCAGGCAGTCCTCTCACCTCTGCCACCCAAAGTGCTGGGATGACAAGTGTGAACCACCACACCTGGTTGTGTTTTTTTTTTAAGCACCAAAAGGTCATCTTTATTGCTTTAGTGATAACTAGAATCATTGTTTTATTAACTATTTATTTATGATTTATTTTAGATTCAAGAGGTCCACGTGCAGGTTTGTTAGATGAATATATTATGTAATGGTGAGGCTTACATTTATTTTATTTTTTGAGTTGGAGTCTCAGTCTGTTACCCAGGCTGGAGTGCAATCCACTCACCTCGGGCTCCCAAAGCACTGGTATTACAGGCTGAGCCACCGAGCCCGGCCTACTGAATACTTTTTAAAAATATTCTCTGAAGCCGTT